GCTAAAAGAAAAAAAAAAACTTTATATTCACGATAGGTAGGCCTTATCTGCATTGTACAATTTAGAGAAAATTCATCGTAGCCATTATTTATTATCAGTACGGTCCCGGCGTCATTCCTTGAATCGGGGCGGTACGTACTACTTTACCTCTTGAGTTGACGATGTACACATGACATGGGTCATATCATGTAAAGATAATTATTTGTTCCGAATTATAGTTTGTATTTTTAATGTATTACTAAAGATAGGTCCCTGCATTCAACAATTATGTGAATATTCATTGTACTGTTATTTATATCAACTATTGCCCCGGCGTCACTAATTTGGATCAAGACGGCACGTACGAAATTATCTTCAATTACTTGACAATCGGGACGCTACGACGTACCTCTCTTATTGTGTTGACTTGGGAACGTTTACCTTCCTATCATGCGCGATCGATAATACTTTCTTCCTATTTACTATTTGTATATGAAATGAAATGCTCATTATAGTTCCGTGCATTGTCGAATTCTGAGAATATTCATTGTAATTGTTATTTTTTTAAAAGAAACATCGTACCGACGTCATTATTTTCGATCAAGACGGCACGTCCGGTGAATAATCACAATCTAGTTTTCTACACTAACTTAAGTGTGGGTAGACTTGCAATGTCTTTGTCTAATTATTAAATTTATATCACCATAAGCTATAAAAATGTGTAAAATATAAGCATGAATCTGTAATTACATGGCCAGATGAATGAAAATACTCAATCGATCGAGTTTTTCTTCCTTCTTCTTATTTGCATTATTATTATTATTATTTCTCTAGGGTCCTCCTTTTGTTTTGTACAGTTAAAGCTTGTCAACTACTCTGATAGTCAATGACAATCACTTGTTCTGTCGATTCAGAAAAGTTAAAAACTTTATTTATTATTTATTATGTGCCACCAAATCGTAACCAGCCTTCATCATGCCCTCACGATGTCACCGGGGACGTAACTGCCCAAAAACTATTTTTGGCAGCGAAGGGACGCTACAAATAAACCATCAACAAACTACCGGGTTTCTTGGTTGATTTGCAAGGTACTACATGGCTCAACTATTTTTTACTTAGGGGTTAATTGGTAAAAATCGCACACAAATCATACGACCTCACTGACAACGCCGGGGACGGCAACTCGATTTTGAGATAAATTTTCCGAATAAAGTTACACAAAATAACTTCTAATGACGAACTATTGTCTTCAGTTGTCTTTGTTGGTCATTCAACTGTTATTTTATATATTTTTTCGGTGATAATACCATTCTCAATAATCTATAAAACTTCAAGATGACAAACGTTTTCATTGGACTAAATTCTTGCTTATGTTAACCATGCTTACCTAAGATTATTACTGACACTGGTTTCAAATGAAGTAACTGACAACTTCGGTTTGTATCACCGTTTTAATAAGTACATGAAACTATGTCACAAGTATGTATGCAAAAATGCACAGGGACCTCGCTGTTTTTGTATTTTTCTTAAAATCTGTATGCCTGATTACCATCATCATACACAGTATAATAGATTCAAGTTTAGTAAGATGTTTAAAATTATATAAAAATGTATGCAAACATGCCTTTGGAACAGATTTTTTTTTGTGATTTTTTTTATATCTTAACGTCGACTCCGCCTTAAAAAGCACCAGGATTAATCACACAACAGTATCCTTTTATAAACCTCTAATTCCAAAAATAATCAGTAAATCCTGTGCAATAAATAAAATTACGTACCGGTACATAATAAACTGATTAAAACAATTAAACACATTTTGCATATATAAGGTCGCATGAAAAATTGTAATTTTTATGATTATTGACACTCACTGCGTCGTACGACAAATCCAACTCCGCTCCCTGTGAACGATAGATGACGCAACGCCGTCTGCTGATTGTCGGTAGCAATCTGAACGAATCGTTGTTAAAAACGATCCGTTGCGCGCTTATAATAATCAGTGAACTTACCGTATTATATATAAATAATTGTAAGTTACTTTTAATTATTTACATATAATGATTTATTACCTTTTCATTATTTATATATAATGGAATCAGTGAACTTAACGTATTATATATAAATAATTGTAATTACTTTTCATTATTTATATATAATTATGTATTATCCTTTCCTTATTTATAATAAAACCAGTAACCTTATTATATATAAATAATGTTGGGTTACCCTTTCATTATTTATATATAATGAAACCAGTAAACTAATTATATATAAATAATGAACTTAAAACGTTAACACAATTATTTACATATAATCTTTTAGATGTAAATGCATTATCCATGGGTGATCTATTCAATTATATGTTAAATAATGAATTACAATATAAATAATTGTGTTAAATAATAAATTTACACTTGGCGCCTCATAGAAATAGAATCAGAGCTTTCGGACAACACTAGTCCTACTTTATATCGTAAAGAAAATAGGCAGTAAAAAGGCTATAGGTCTTCTGAATAAAAGGCGAAAACGACGGGTGTCTAGCCACAAATGTATTGAGTTCATGTTGTAGTTGATATCAATTATATTAATCTGCGATTTTTAGTATTATATCACCGAGATATTACCAAAGTGCTTTTGACACACATAAACTACACTGACACTTATGTAACATAGAAGAGCTTATACACACAAAAATTCCTTTTAATATTCTTTACTTATTGGAATAATTTTATTTGGATCCATATATCATCATATATAATAATTATATTATTTATAGCGTTACCGCAAGACGGATTAGAGAGTACTGTATATATACATACATACATACATATATATATATATATATATATATATATATATATATAAATAATATAAATCATCAAAGGTACATATCATATATATATATACATATATATATATATATATAATATATATAACTGAAATAAACTATTACAAGCAGAGTGCTCAATGTTAGACCAGAGCGGATATAAATAAATAAAATAAATAAATAATAATGTTGAACCTCACTTTAATAGAGAAACTGCAAGAGGTGCGGTAATGGTATAACTATATATAAATTTTGAACGTTAAGAGGAATTTGCGAGTGTGAATATTAAAATTGGAGCAACATGCAAATTCTTTTCTTTTTTGTTTAAATATATATATATATATGCATATATATATATACATATATATATATATTTATCCTATTTGTCCTTTTTTTTAAATTAAATTATTAATTTAAACACATTATAAGCGAAAAATAAGATTCTCTGAAATCAAGGCACACAAGTAAACATGACCCATATGATGACACCATCCACGCTAAAAAAATATATAGTAATGATGCACTTTGGCCTTGGTATATCTTGTGATAATGATGCACTTTGACCTTGATAAATCTTGTGATAATGATGCACTTTGGCCTTGATATATCTTGTGATAATGATGCACTTTGACCTTGATAAATCTTGTGCGTTATCATTGGTTCCTCAGTTTTTCATGTTGATTTTTTCTGGTATTTTAATGTTATCAATTTCAAAATATTTCTCCTGTTCTTTCAGGCTTTTAATCTGCGTTAATATTTTTTATTTTTGTATTGGAACCAAATAAATTCAACTGAACTGTTGATTGATAGATTTAAAAATAATTCTATAACGTCGGTTAAAACGAAAGTTCTCACTAGCGCTTTAGAATATATTACACACTAAAGAGCAAAAATACAATAATAATAATAATAATAACAATAATAATAATAAT